TCATAAGCGCGGAGTTTCCGCGTCCTGTGACTGCAGTCAGGTGGTTGCGGGGCCCTCTCCCTCCCGCGGCGGCGCCGGGAAAGTTGCAGGGAAGTTGCCCGGGCGCGAGCGGCCTCCGTCAGGCCGGGGCTCCGGGCGGCAGCGAGGATGGCCGGGGGGGACGGAGGGGGCTCCGGCGTGCCCGAGTGCCGGGAGCACCTCTTCAAGGTGCTCGTGATCGGCGAGCTGGGCGTGGGCAAGACCAGCATCATCAAGCGCTACGTGCACCAGCTCTTCTCGCAGCACTACCGGGCCACTATCGGTGTGGATTTTGCCCTCAAAGTCATCAACTGGGACAGCAAGACCCTGGTGCGGCTGCAGCTCTGGGACATCGCAGGTGAGCGCCGGGACTCCCCTCCTGGTCGTTCTCCCTCCCCTCTAACGTTTAGCTGCTGTGCTCTGCACCTCCAGATACACTTAGCAATACACATTTCTTCTCACAAGTGGGACATGTTTAGGAGGTTCACCTTGCAGATTAGGAATAACTCTAGTAGCTGCTGTTGTGAGCAAACTTTGTGTGCTTGAAATTACATACTTTCTCTGAAAGTGTCTCTTTTCCTTGCAGGTTGATATGAGTAAAGGGCATTTGTGTTATGTTTAGCTCTACATTCAGAGTATTGGGTTTATATGCTTAAAAAGATATTCTGACTACTGAGTTGGAGAAGTTCCCCTCTGCAGACTGCTCAGAACTCCTCCCTGTAGTTCCAACCTATTCTTTGAAAGATCTAGAGTACTTTACAAGTCATGGCATACTTTACTTTACTTAGGCCAAGGTGTTAATGCCACAGTACAAACTATTCTGTTGTGCTCTTGTGAGAGGTCTGTAACCTTAGCATCCCAAACTCTGTGTTGCATTTGTAGCTCTCTGTGTATATAGCCTGGGTGTTGACTTGTATCTCTTCTCTTCAGTGTGCCCAGTATATCTTTTGGGCTGTGAGAAAGTGGGCTTTACTTTGAATTAAGGTTATTTTAAACCTATGCTACTGGGAGCTACTATAACGAAGCAGTAACAGCCGGGAGTTACTGTTTCTGTGGTCCCCCCTATGGAGTGGAAGTTCCTGAAACAGGAAGTGTAAAAAGCAATGCAGCTGGGGCCTGTGATGAACCTGGCTGGCTGCCAGTTTCAGGCCTGCTTGTGCTCTAAAGATCATCATAAAGCACCTTAATATGATTTTGCAAACCAGAAAACCCTCCTTTTTATTGTCATATGCTGAAATGTTGTCCTGTAGGAAAAACAAACACATTTGTTAATTGCTATTTTGAGGAACAAGTGAATCAATGGCCAACTTTCCCTTTGGATGAGAGTTTCAGAAGGATTCTTTTAAGGACCATTTGTGTGGGGGATGTGTTTTTTATCCATTGGCAGTTCAGTTGCCATAACACAATCAATATATCTTAGCAAGTCAATTCTGGTGTCCTAAAACCTGAATGCAGAATAAGGATCAGGATCCTCTGCTTTAGCTGGCTAGCATCCTTGGGTTTAACTTCTCTTCAGTCCTTGGTTTTGGAGGCTGGGGTAGGTATTTACACTCCCTAATGCAATCTGTTTCAACAGACTAGCTGGAAACCTAGCTGTAATTTGTAACAGTTTGGATAGAACTTCCCATAGTAAAAATAGTGTCTGTTAGCACATCTGTGGATTAACTTTAGGATTTGGAAGACTATTCTTTCATTCCTGATTATTGCCCTTAGTGTATCCTGGACATGGCTAGGTGAAGACACAGTTAAGGGTTGCTGTTTAGTCCCTGGAGACTTGTGTTAATGGAAGTAAGAAACACAATTTGCATTCCAAATTCTCGTATCTAATCTGGAGGCTTATGGTATCCCATACCTGATGGGATGCATCCTTCCTCAAAAGAAAAACAAGGCTGAGAACAGAACCACACTTAGTTTTTAGTGATATCTGGGCTAAGCTTGGCTGGTGTAGCAGTCATAGTTTAGACTCGCACAGATGCATTTCAGTGAAGCACTGATAGTTGAAACACAAAGGATTTTAGTATGAAAAAGCTGCTTAATGGTCTTAAAACTGCTAATATTCTTGGCCTGGGAAGCTATTCTACAGCTATCTGTACTCTGAACTCATATAAATACTGGAAGATGCTAAAAGGTTCATATAGGAAGTATTAGTTACAGAAAAGGAGGCAGAAGATGGCTCCTGAAGAGTCATGGATCATTCTCTAAAGCCTTGCTATTTTATTAAAGTGTATAACAAAGTCTTTGAGCATGTGATAGTCATGCTCTTTTAACTCATCAGCTCAACTGTCTTCTGGCTTCCAGCAACTAATGTAGATAATTCTGTCTGGGTGCAGACAAACAGCTTTGGAGATCTAAATCTTATGGTAAGTACTATTACATGTGACTTCCCTGCAAGCTATGTGGTGTGGCATTCTGGATTGATTTTGTTGATTTTAAAGTGGCTTCTGAATTTAAGTCAAGCCCTTAAGCACAGCACAGTGTTTCTTTTTACTACATCAGAGTTTGTGCTTATAGTCCACTGGAGAAGAAAAAAAAAAAAAAAAAAAGCCTTCCTTCAAGAGCTGGATGTTGAGATCTAAGGTTTGGCAACTTAAATTGGTGATAAGAACTAACCACATTGCTCAATCCAGCAACTCGGGATTATAATGTACCTACTGTGCTGGTTTCTGGTGTGGTTGTAGCCATATGGGTGAGTGCAATGCAGGAAGTTCCTGAGTTTTCTTGTGCTGGTTAGCTAAAGGTGGTGGTGGGGAGTTGTTCCCCCCACCCCTCCCTGCTGAGCCCTCCCTTCTCTTTCTGTGTTAAAGCTATAAATTCTCTACTAGAAAGTTATGTTAATGTTGTTTTTTGATGAAATTTGTTTTCCTGTTGCAAGATGCAAAATAATTCCTGTGGTAGAATGAAGAGGGAAGGAGAGTATTGTGCCTATACATGTATGTTCAACAAATACTCAGACGCATTAGTTTGTCTCGACCCAGGCTGTGGGTATTTGAACAGTGGAGACAAAAGGGCTTGTGAGTTAGACTGTTCAGCTGCTGTCAGATGATCTTCTTTGTAGCATGGAAGACTGTGAAAGAAGCTGAACAGACTATATGCAGCTTGAAAGTTTTGTTCATGTTTGAACATGCAGCAGCCCTTGGGCAATTATGCCTGTTTTTTTCTTGGCATGCCAAGTTGTTATTAAATTTGTCTTCTTGGATAAATGCTGAAAGTATTAGAAGCAGGCTAAACCACTTCTTCAAAGCACATAAATAACTGGCCAAAGAAATAGACAAAAATATGCCTCCTGAGCATGCCTTCTTGCTGAGAGAACAACTACACTGACTACACAGTAGTGTAAGAGGCAAATATAGCATATTTGATTTTAATCAAATATCATTGAAAGAACACTGTAAAGGACTCTTTCTGAATCCCAGAGCCTCTTGGTCTGGATTGGCACCTCTGATGGTAGCCCATGCAGTCCTAAAGAGCCAGCTAACACTGTCATGCACGTCAGCTTGTGTGAACATGAAGCCATCTAGAGGGGAAGGGTGGCAAAAGTCATCAGTGATCACTTGAGCTTGGCTTCCCCTGAAGCATGTCACTAATGACACCTAACTCCTTTTGGAAAGCTTTGAGTGAAGCATTCTGTGTTACATCCAATAACTGCAGCCTTCCAGGACTTATTGAAACTTAAATATTGCTTTAACTGGAAAAATATGGCTATGAAGTTGGCAAAATAGAAGAGGAACAAATGTACTTATGAGTATAGCATGTTTAGAGAATTTAAACTTTCCGGAGATGTGTTGTGAGACTCATCACATGCATGTTTAATAAAACCCTGGTATGTCTCCTTGAAGTGGTCTGAAATCTCAACTGTTCAGAAGTGTATGCTTGAAGATATAAATATCCAGAAATAATTTTGCTCAAATACTGAGCTGAGGAAGGGCTGGAACAAAATATTTTTCTATAAAGACAAATAGGCATTAGATATGTAAAGATGTGTTAAGTTTAAGTTTTCTACTTACCTATAGAAAGCCATAATAAATGGGAAAGTGGGTGCAGGAAACCGAGTAGGGAACAGGGGAAAGGAGGATATTCTAAAATGTGTTCAGCTGTAGAGAAGAAATCTCCAAGTGAAGTAAGACTTGGAAGGGAAGAAAATGAATGCAAAATGCAAGCCTTCTGGCCTTCATCTGCAGGAGTGATTTTGTGCTCGTTATCTTCCTCTTTCCCCAGAATGAAGTGTATCTTGTCTGAATGGGCTAGAGTGCTTGGAGATGGTGCACTTGCTTGTGGAGCATGGTTTTGTACTGTTGCATAGCTTGGTGACTGAGTTTCAAGGTATTCAAGCTGTTCCAGTATGTTAAATTCTTTAGCTTTAAGCAGCTGTATATTTGGGGGTATTCAAGGTCTGTATTTATGGTCCCAGTGTGTAAGAAGACTGCCAAACTACTTTTGTATATTAGGTTGTGAACTAGTTATTTTAATTATAAGCTGACCATTTTTATAAGGTCTGAAGCAAGCCTTAAACGATGTTAATTCTTTCCTTTCCATATCTTTATGGAATATCTAGAATTCTTTGGTGTACTATTCATTTAGCAACGTGTGCAGCACGAGCATGCTTTAGCTGATTTTTCATATGAGCTTGCCCTAACTATGGAGACTTCAGAAGTAGCCTCTAAAGTGAGGCAAAGCTTGTAGCAACTTGTACTTGCATGCAACACTTTCAGGATCCATGCCGAAGTTCCCAGTTTAATCCCTACAAAGATACCATTTAGAAATTGAGTAGCCCTGTGTCTCTGTGTAGAGACCAGAGAATCTTGACATAACCTCCTCACTTGTGCTTTTTTGCACTCAGTAAGAGTATTTGAATGAAAAGAGGAAGAAA